GAGATTTTTGAATTTTGGAACTGCAGATAACAGATTTTGGATCTGTATTAGTATTCTATCTACTTAAGTTAGTAAAACCCTTAAACCCACTGAATCTGAATGAATATGTACCTTAAAATCAGAAATTGCTACCGAGACATGTATTGAATGGGGCTCATTTGTGGCAACAAACAAGATTGAAACTGCTTTCAAAGTCTTTTTCTAAGTGTGCCCTGAGGCAGGAGCAAAGGAAGTGTCAGGCTCCAAAAAATACCCCAACCCAGCAGCTAGGGACCCCATTTCTCCCCATTCCTGATCCAGCTTCCACTTGGATTTTTGTCAACTCCCCTGGGCACCACCAAGCTAACTCTCCTTATAAGTGCCTCACATCTCAGACTTTACCAGCTTTCAAACCCCATTAAACCTTTAGAGTTGTATGTCCCTTTCCCTCCGTAGGCAGCTCCTTCCATCAGAACAACTACCAACATTAACTGGATGATGAGAAATACTAATACGTTAACAAGTCTCTCCTCCCAGCAAGCACATTGAGATATCAACAGGATCTTTCTGGAAGCATCGGCTCAACTGAAAGGGGTGATTTTGAATGGTGGCAGTGACAGGAACTGTGGCTGGCCAGTGGGAAACTTCTGCGGGGACAGGTCTTTGTCTCTCAGGTTTAATGTCTCTCAGGTGACAAAGGCTGTCAACTCTGTCAGGGAGGATCCCAGCATGGAGCCTGCAGCCACCCACAAGGTTGATTGTATCTGTCCTCTATAGTCCCATGGGACTCTTCCACTATAATCAACTATAATGTTTCAATATGATCAAGAAATCCTACGTCAACAATATGAAATTAGATGTCTTAGTCTGTTTTAACTTCCATACGAAAATACCACAGACTGAGTAGCTTATAAACAACAGAAATTTATTTCTCACTGTTTAGGAAGCTGGAAGTTCAAGATCAGCATGGTCAGTTGAGGACCGCCTTCTGAGTCACACACTTCTCACTGTGTCTTCATGTGGTGGAAGGGGCAAAACTAGCTCTCTGGAAACTCTTTTATAAGGACACTATTTCCAATCATAAAGGCTCCATCTTCATGACCTAATCACCACCCATAGTCCTCACCTCATAATATCATCATCTTGAACATTGGGCGTTCAACATATGAATGCGGGAGGAACACAAAAATTCAGACCATAGCAGATGCGAAAAAAAGTTCTGCACAACTGCCAAAGATTTAGTTCTTATACACGCTCTTGCAAAAGAAAAAGTAACCAAAATGGAGAAGCCATGCTTGACTGTTCATGGATGCCACCCACCTGCCACATCACAGCATGAAGCAGTGACAAACGATGACACCCCTGTTTGTCCTCATTTCTGGGTTCTCCCTGCCCCAGATAAATGGGGAGCCATCCTCAGAACCTGAGCTATCTGTAACAAGATTCCCCTTCTTTTCCATATCTCCCAGAGCTGTGTGGGTGTAGAAATAGAATGCTGTCATGCCAAAGAGCTGGTGCAAAATCTAATAATGTAAGAATAAGATGGGCTCAAAAACGCATCCATTCTTGTGGTATATGATTGTTATGAAAAGAGATCAAACATGACAGGTATCAAGTAATTGGTTTCATGGGTCCTGGTGCTGACCTGGGCTTCCATAGATCCTTCAGAGTATGCTCTGGACATCCATAGATTTGTCCTCAGGATACACTCTGGAGTGACAAAATGGCCATTTTCTTTTTCAACTGTGTTTTTCAGTTTAAGTTTCCACATTGTCTCTAAAGTTACCCTTTGAATACACTGAAAGGAGAAAAGGTTCTTGAGGACACAGGTGCATTGTTCCTTGTTTTTATTGTAAGTGGCTGAGCATCAATAGGCACAGTGAGAGGCTGGGTGTATTTGGCAGTCTCTTATTGTTCCTCGATACTCACACTCCCAGGGGTATCATTCCCAATGTAAGCTATCGCAGTCAGCTCCTGATAAATGAGTCTCTGCCAGCCATGCAGTGCACACACTATCTGAACGAAACAAAGCTCTCCTCTGACTCAGCACAGGTCCAGCTGCAGGAATCATTGTCCTAAATGTCCAGAGCCAACACCAGAACTGACGGTCACCTTTCAGCTCCTCTCAACTCCAGTGCCAGCAAAGGCTGGCCTGCGCTTGCTGCGATTTATTCCAGCGAGCTTTAATAATTAGCTAGAGCTCATGGAGCCGAGCACACATAATGGAATGTCAGTAATGGTCAATCCAATGTCACATTTTAGAAGCTGTATCAGAAGACAATCTCAGACTCTAACAAGAATTTATGACTATACCAGATATACTAGCATAGAAGTTCTGCATTACTGAAAAAATAGAGCGATATAGTTCCATAACTTTTTTAAAATTTTAATTAGGACATTTTTTTAAAAGCAGTAGGTACTGGGAAGCTTTATGGAAAAGAATTTGCAATGCACTCTCTGTGTTTTATTATTCATTATGTAGTGACCATTGTGAAGTCAATTTTGTTCAAGGTATGAATGAAGATCTGGAGCTTATTTGGGGGAACTCAAATTTAAAAGTAGGTAAACCAACTTATATACAAATACATCAAGCATAAGATTTCAATACCTGAAAAAAAAATGACTTAAATATAAGTGTCTCTGTGTGTTTCTATTTCTTCTTTTGGAGACTGATGGGTGGAGCCTTTGGTTTATGAAACTTGGGAAATTACCTGCAGGAAAGGGAGGAATTTTAAGCACAAGTATACTGTACAAGAACATATAAACAGGAAGAACAAAATAGGAGAAAGGAAGTTTTTTCCAGCTTTCAAGCAACAATAGTAGAGGCAGTAAAAGAATGATAATAATAGCAATTAGGCAGGGCTGCTAGCAGCCTCCTGTGCTGGATGTCCTGAGTCCCCTTGAGATCCACTCTTCATCCTTCCACCTTGGTCTGTGCCCTAAAAGAGAACCTCTACCAACTGGATCACCTGAGTCCCCTTGCTTGCTGGCTTCCACTTGTTTTCAGCCAATGGGAGGCAGCAGCCGGAGGCCAGAAGGAGGGACTAGAGAGGTCAGGGTATCATTCTCTCAGCTCCTTCCCTGATGGTGGGCCTTGGTTTGGCAGTTGCTGGGTCATTTGGCCCCTGTCTGTGATTTTTCCACCCTATGCTGATTTCCTTTAACTTAGTCCACACTTTTGTAAATAGTTTCTTCTTGAAACTCTCTTTATTACCCCTGTTTCTTACCAGGACACAAACAAATATAGAACATTTGTAGGAATTAGAAAAAAGGCACTCAGATGGAGGCATGAGGTCCATTATACTATTGTTTCTCTTTTGGTATATATTGAAATTTTCTACAACAAAAGGATTCCAAAAAAAGAAAAGAAAAAGTGCCCCTTTTCGTGAATGGTGCCCTGCAGGTGCATAGCTTCATGGGCACAAAATTCAGGCTGGATTTCAGCCCCTATTCATTCCCTTGGCAGGTGACTTTAGGCAGTGCACAAAATGCCCAGCCAAACCTGGCAGCCTGCAAAAGGATGGGCAGATCCCTAACAGCTGGAAAATATCTTAAGGAGGAAGTGAGGATCGACCTGGGTCTTCAAGGATATTTGGGACTTAAATGAGAAAGTGTATTGTAGGCGATCATAAAACGCATACAGGGACAGGCAAGCATAAGATGAATACAGGAAATAGATCCCATAAGGGAAGAAAGGTCCCTTGAAGGAAGTGTTGCAGCATAAAAAAGTAGAGACAAGATGGATATGGGCTTCGATTGCTGATGCGAACGGTAAAGTGTGAATCGTAGCTTATGATTGACTAGGCAGTATGGTGCAGTACCTGGGCACATGGCTCTGAAGTTAGACTGGCCACGCTTTCGTCAGGGTTTTGCCTTCTGTTAGCTCTGTGACTTTACACAGTTACTTTTCCTCACTAAGCCTCATTTTTCTACTTTACAAAATCAGGATAAAATAGTACTACCTTGTAGATTCTCTGGGAAACTGAATTCTAAAATACATATAAAGTACTTGGCACAATGCCTGGCTTTAGTAAGTTCTCAATGGACATCAGCTACTATTTTATGCAGATTAATCAGACAGCATGTGCAGAATGCACTAGAAAGGAAAGAGAGGATAGGGAAGTCAGGTTGAGGCTGCTGTAGGGACGCAGGAAATGGGAGAAGAGAAGCAGGTGGGAGAAGCTTTGAGAAGAAGAGTAGGAGGACAAAAAACTGACAGGTCAGGAGCGTGAGAAGTCAGAGAGGGCTCCAAGCACTTTTCTGAGATCATTAGTCTCCCCTGGTAGAAATGCACCTAGACAGCTTAGGCAATTGACATGGGAAGACTGACAATTTTGACATTTTAGTACAAGGAAAAGAAATAATATAAATTTGCCATTTTAGTGCAACTAAGAAAATCAAGGAACCATTAGATTTTACCCTTTGTTTTACACAATATTGAATTAGACCCAAGATTTTAATACAAAATAAAAATGCTAATGGACACCTCAAATGTTTCAGTAATCACTGGTGACTCCTCGAACTTTCCAAAGATGTTTTTTTATATCCGCAAGTTTCTTCTGATTAAAATCTGAGGTAAGGCCTCCTCAGGTGAGAACGAGCATCCTTATACAAGAGAACTTTGTAAGATCACCTGGAATTTGCAAGTTTAGCTCTGACTAGCAAAAGTAACAAGAGAGCTGAGGAAGCTATCAAGTCCTTGACTCAAATATTTAACATTTGGGGTGGAGGGAGAAATAGTTAATTTTAAGTAATAATTTCTGTAAGTCCCCAATTGTGCATTCATTTGTAGGCAAGCCTACCTAAGAATTCAGTGCTTTTTCAAAAACCACTCTGAGGCCACTGTGGCCATATCGTCCCCAAGAAAATTTATTTCATGCTTTTACTTTGGCCTTTTTTCCAGGAACTGAGCCCAGTTTTTGCCAACATTTTGGCTCACTGTTGGAAACAGCATGGCAGTATCTGGTTCTGAGGTCCCTCCTGCCTCACCCTTGTCTGTTCTCTCTCTCTGTGCCCTTCAGATACTTGCCTGAAATTATGAATGATGGGCTGACCAACCAGATCAACAACCCGGAGGTGGATGTGGACATCACTCGGCCCGACACTTTCATCAGGCAGCAGATCATGGCTCTCCGTGTAATGACCAACAAACTAAAAAATGCATACAATGGCAATGACGTCAACTTTCAGGACACAAGTAAGAAAGCCCTTACCAGTACTAGTAACTAGTAACTAGAAGTCTTTACGAGTTCTAGAGCGAAAAATGATTGTAGAAGATTATACCATCATTTTTCTTCAAGAGCAATGTGCACCTTGTAGCTTGTATCATTCTTGCCCAATCTGCAAAGCTGTTTATAGTCCTTTGGGCAGAGAGCTCCAATCCACAAAACTTAGGATACTACTAAAATCATAACTGGCCTTAAGGAATTGTTTTAGTGGATTGTATTCAGCCATGCCAAAGCTAAAATTGAGTTTCAACTGCCAGTTGATCCATTCATAATAATGGATTATTTATAATAAATAATAATAATAATTAATAATAATAAAGCAACAAAGTAATGTTTTCACTTTTTCATTTCCCCAACAGCATTTATGTCTCTGCCCCAAACTCCTGCCCCCTCCCACCACCCCAACCACCAAAAGAAGAATGTTCTAAAGATTTCTCAGACAAGGCTGAGCTGGAATCCTTGTTTTATCATCCATGAACTTTAACACCTTATTTCTTGAGTCTCAGGTTCTTCTTATATAGAATGGGAAGCAACCTTACCTAAGAGGTTATTGGAAAGTTAGTTGAGGCCATATTTAAAGGAGTAAGATAATATCTCTCGTGTGCCATGGATTCAACTGTATTTGTTCTCTCTGTATCCCATCATACACATACAGAGACTATTGACATTTGTATCTGAAATATTGACAAAAATAGTAAAATGCTAGTGCATTAGTATACTTGCTATTTTATTAAATATCACAAAAGCATCAGAAGTGATTTGAAAGGCTACTAAGTGAATATTGACATGAAACTACATTTGAGTTTTGTCTAAATGGTTTCAAGATGCATATTAAGGCAAGTTTTTTGTTTGTTTCTTTTCTTTTCTTTTAAGTAAGTACTCTTGCAGAGAGAGTTTTCAGGAAAAGATTTCTTGGACATAAGATGTGGAGTTGCCAGTGATTCTGTAATTTGGTCACTGAAGCAAAAGATGCTTATGTGCTTGAATTAATGAGACAAAAAGAAGTTACATATGGAAGACATTAAGTCTTCTAAGTCTTAGCCATCTTCCTACCGAGTTGTCCCCTACAGAAAATTTTTAGTGCTTTATTCCATTTTAAATAACTCAAAAATTAATTTTCTAAATGCAGGATAATTGCCAACTCAATAGACTTTATTGCTATAAAATTTCTCAGAGTCATCCCATTATTTCTCTTCCTCTTTACTAAGCCTCTCCTTTTCTCTTCAAAAGGGAACATTACACAAGGTTTTACCCTTTCTGCTTCTCCCTTGCTCATTACTTAGCCTTGCTCACCTCAATTTATCCATTATGTCTTCACTAGCTAACAAAATGCTTTATTATCTGGATATTAAATTATTCATGATACATAAGACTTAGTTGATGTTGGCCATGTTTAAGGAATGTCCTTGAAAAGAGATTTTGCTCAAAAGAAAATAAAAATCATCAGTAGTTAAGAGCATCCCTTAACTCTAACCCAACACCAAATTTGACCCTTTATTTTAGGATAGCTGTCTGTCATACAAACCATTGTCACTTCTAGCCATCATCAACCATATTGCTTTTGACATTTTTAAAAATTACACTTTAAATACCTGCATTTGTGATTCCTCTTCAGAAAGAGATGGGACCATTATTTTTCTCAACTGGAGTCCCTGTCGTTATTTGCTTACCATATTTTTAATAATCTAAATCACTTTAATAATATCTTTGCAAAGGTTATATTACTTCTTGTTCATAATACTAATGTCTAGAACAATCCCCTTAGCAATTCTGATATCTCTGAATTTAATTAATGGGCATTTTACCCCCTTGTAAAAGCCACTAAAGATAAGTCAGAGAAAATGTTAAGAGCCTGGTGTAGTGTATTTAAGTGATCTTGCCTGATATTTAGATGCCCGTTACAAAAAAAAAAAAGTGTGATGAGTTATGCCTTTCTCACTCAGGAGAATTAGAAGAGGCCCTGCATTTCCTTGGCTTTATTTAAGTAGCATCAAGCAGCCAAGATGGTGCCAGTCCTTCAGGAGCAGTTTATCAAGCACATCACCATATCAGGCCAGCAGGGTGGAGTTTGGGGCAATTGAATGGAATCACCGAGCAAGTTGGGGAAATAGCAGGTGTCATTACCAGGTTTACAGTTTCTTGAGTCCTCCCAGGCACATTATCTCATTTATACCCCATAACAATTCTGCGAAAGAAGTGGGATTATTCTCATTTTACAGGAAAGAAACAGAGCCTCAGCGAGGGTAACTGGCTTGCCCTAGTTCACTTAAATAAATAAAATATGGCAAGTTAAACTCTAGGTCACCTCTGCTGTAGGAACCGTATTTTTTCCATCAGGCATCATCGCAAGCACTGGGTTTGGGGTCCTCACACATTTTCTTAGGGTGTCTTCACACATACTCTGCAAGGTAAATGTTATTGTCCATATATGTTGAGATGATGAAACCGACAAAAGTTGAGTCAACTGCCCAAGGCACATTTATTCAACAAGTATTTACTGAGCACCTGCTGTATGCCAGGGACCATTCAAGGCAGTAGGGATCAGAACTGAACAGTTACACAAACTCTCTGCCTTCAAGGAGTTTACGTTCCCATGGAGGACACTAACCAGAAACAAGAAAACAAGCAACTAACACAATTGCACACAGCTAGCAACGGATGAAGCCTGTTCTGGGACCCAGGTCTGAGGCACAGGGTTCATGAAATAAAAAGAAACCAAGCAGTGGGAATAGAGCAGCCCCAGGGACATGATGGGCAAGCAGGGAATGCTACCCAACTCAAGGGAAGGGGTTCATCTGCCTGCGTGCATCAAATCCAAAGGAGACAAGAACAGGGATTTGCAGCAGAGAAAAGTAGATGTTTATTTAGGGAAATGGCAACAAGCCAGGAGACACAGGTGAGCTAGTGCTCTTAAGACCTGGCTCCCCCATGGCATGTAGGTGACAGATTATATAGGGCAAAATCACAAGACACCGTGGGTTAGGGGGTCAGGGTTGTATTAGGAGTTGATTGGTCAGAGGTGAGGGAAGGGTAATGAATAATTTCTTCAGATCTTGAGGATAAATATGAGGTCTTTTCTAGAGTCCCTCTGTCCAGTCTCATGGGAAAGTAGCCAGGGGTTCATTCCATCTTAGGGCTCAGGAGATAAAACCTAACTTAGGTCAAGATGTTATCTTCAGCCTGCAGCGGTCCAGACCCTGTGACCATTAGTCAGGTCCAGGCTATCGTCTTCTGCACGTTGGGGGTTTCTGATTATCTGGGGAAAAGGATAGGTCTCTAAGGGGAAAGAGAGAGAGAGACTTAAAGCTAGGACTTAAAGATAAATTTAATCAAAGTCTTAAGAACCCCCAGTTTCAGGAAGATACCACACTAAGACCACATACTCTGTGGGCATTGGTTTCAAGCAAGGAATGGCAAACATTTTTTGGAACGGGTCAGATATTAAATATGTTCAGCTTTGAGGGCCATACGTGAACATAGAATTAGACAATGTATAAATGCATGGATGTGGTGCATTCCATTATAACTTTATATATGGACACTGAGGTTTAAATTTCATATATACACTTTTTACAGGTCACAAAAATATGATTTTTTTATTTGATGTTTTTTAAAACACTTGAAAGTATAAAAGCCATTCTTGGGTCATGGGCCATACAAAAACAAACAGCGGGTCAAATTGGCCTGCAAGCCATATTCAGTCAACCATGGTGTAAAGGGAGAGGCTTATTGTTGCTCTTAGGAGGGGAAAAGAGGGGGAAAAGTACCAGAAGTAATAATAATGTGTGCCTTTCACAACTGTGCTGCTGTTCCCCTGACTTCCCACTTGCACTGTTTGCTTCCCTCTTATTACTTTAGTATTACTCCTCCTTACTTCCAAAATCTTTTCAAAATCCTTTATAAAAATATGATAACCACTAAGAACAATGGATCTGAGGTACAAAAAAAGCAAAAAATGGAATTTCTTAAAGTAATTTAAATATTGACCAGAATAAGAAATACAGTAAAACCTTGGATTGCGAGTGACGTGGTTTGTAAGTGGTCCGCAAGACGAGCAAACATTTCTAATACATTTTAACGTGGTAAACGAGCGATATCTTGCAATATGAATAGTTTGTTTCCAGAACGAATTATGCTCCCAAGCCAAGGTATTACTGTACTTTCAAATGCCAGCAAGGTAATGATGGCTTCTCCTTAGGTCTGGAAAATTCACTTGTTCCTTAGTTGGGCAACTCTGAATAGCAATTCACACTGTGTTTCAGATATCTATTTTGATACAGTCTACCCGCCCATCACAAACCTGCCAATGAAAAGCAAACCTGTTGGGGTGGGGTGGGGGGCCCTTCGGTGGAGAGATGTCCCCTTCCACCACCACGCCCCAATCTGTTGCGTGCCTCCCATCTTTACAGGTTATGGTCTAACTTTCTTTGTCAATCTGTCCACACCAGGTGATGAATCTAGTGGCTCGGGGAGTGGCAGTGGGTGCATGGATGACGTGTGTCCCACAGAGTTTGAGTTTGTCACCACAGAGGCCCCTGCCGTTGACCCCGACCGGAGAGAAGTAGACTCTTCTGCAGCCCAGCTCGGCCACTCCCTGCTCTCAGCATCTCTCGTCTCCATTGTCCTGGTACTGCAGAGACTGTGCAGATAATCTTGGGTTTGGGGTCAGATAAAACTGCATTTTAGCTATCTGAACAGCCAACTCACTTCTTTTCTTACACTCTTGGACAATGGACCATGCCACAAAAACTTACCGTTTTCTATGAGAAGAGAGCAGTGCTGCACTCTGCCTCCCTTTTTGTTTTCCCAAAGAGTACCGGGTGCCAGACTGGACTGTTTCCCCTTGCCTTCACTATCTGTGAAGACCTTGTTTATTCTAGAGAATTCTTACTCAAATCTTTCGTACCAGGAGACTTTCTTACCTTCATTTGCTTTTATGCTGCAGAAGTAAAGGAATCTCACGTTGTGAGTTTTGTTTTTTTTTAATCCCATTGAAACAACAAAAACGTAGGAAGAAAATAATTTTCTTTGTAAAATCAGGCCAAGCCCCAAGACAACTGTATTTTCAACGAAAAAGTAAACAAGAGAGAAAAATAAAAGAGCTTGAACACTTTAAGTTCAGCATTGTCAGGCAGCTCCCAGTGTAAGCTTTACTATGACTAATTGGGTTTACAAAATGCTATGGGGAGAAAGTTTGAAAGTTTTTTAATGTGGTGAAAATACGCTGTTGTCTTGGAGCAATCATCGTGCACTCTAACCACACAATGCCAAACTGATTCAGAGGTACTGATTCTAACTTCAGACTTCTATCTTTAACATGAGAGCAAAAAATTGCTATCAGTCAGCACCTCTCTCTTACCCTGCCAAATTTCAATTGCAGTAATGGCACCGTTCTGCTTAAGTCTCTTACTGTCTGTCCACTGTATCCAATTGGCGCAGATGTCCCCTCCATCTTCAGTTACTAGTGGACCCCCCACCAATTCATCCTCCCCATGGGTCTGAATTTCAAATAATTTTGAACAATACAATCACTTTGCTTTAGCCACAGGTTGGACATTGATTCGATGTTTCTGCCTCTGTGCTCATTACCCTCCCAAAAGAAGAGTTATTTTAATGAACCATTAAGCAATTCGATTCATAAGTGAGTTTACATTTTTAACTATTTGCTTTGTGTCGATTGGTTTCTGCATCACAAGGGCATTCTCTTACAAAATAACTCACAACAAAAGTCAAAACAAAAAAATATATATATAGTATTGACATGGAGATTTCTTTCACTTTTTTAGTCTTAGTATGATCATCTATTTTTATATCTATATATATATATAAATCACAGATTTTAACTTCTTAATTCCAAGCTCAGGGTTGACACACCTTTGTAACGAAAATGTTTTGTCAACCAGCTCTTCTTGTTTTGTGCTGCTCAGAGAAGGGACTCCTCAGTGATCTGTGAGCACCAAGAATCAAGAAAGAGAACTTTTTACGTATCTAACTGTCCATTTATTAAAAGTTTGCCAGGGCACACCCTTTTTGCATGAGCGTGCTTTGTCCTGGGTGCTCCAGACTGTACCAACCTCATGGGGAAAGCCATGGGTGTGCAGGACTTCACTGGTGATGGAAACTGAATGCGTAAAAAAATGTGTTATTCACACAAAACCATTGCTTTCATGTACAACACCTTCAGCCTAGGATTCCTGCTTGGCACTTGGAGAAATGTCCTAACACAAGAGGCCAATTTAGAGCCACAGACTAAATGATCTGCCAAGTGTGCCAAAGACAGGCCCTGTGCTCCCCCTGACAGAGAGAAGCAAAATAAATAAAACTGGGGCTTTATGAATACAGTTGGCTATCCATATGTTTCTTGGTTTTTGTGATGCATCTGGGGTTGGGAAAAGCAATGTTTTAAGACACCATAGTATACCAGTCACATTTTAATTAACCCATTGACAGTAATGACACGTAAATGGTATTTTTCATTGTGCATTCTCATCAAAATTATAATTAGTTATTGATTTAGTCATCACATTTAAGTAGAACATATGCGGCACAATAGTATTAAGTATAATTGAGCACTTTTGCGAAACTGAAAGTATGTAGAAACATCTATTGCTATTTTTTGCCTAATGAAATATGAAATGTAGGATTCTGAGAGGCTTTGTGGCATCTTTTCATTTAACTCTTTATGAAATTAACACTGAACCTAAGTCAGCATTACATACTTCTAGAAAATCATCCATTTCACTGCCAAACTCCAGCTTCCTGTCACCAGTTACACATAAAACATCTCTATGAAGGACCAATCATTTATGTTGCTCATTTCATTGTATGTTCAGAAATCAGTATTGTCTTTCTCCAATAATTAAGGTGCAATACAAATTAAATCAACCTTGATTTTCCAGAATATTTGAGTAATAACTTGTTTTTATGGTTTTAAATTCCACGTCTTTCATTTTAAAAATGTTTCTGCCTTGCCTTTTATGAAACAGATCAGAATGCCTTGTTTCCCCTGTGCTTTCAGCCCCAAATGGTTTTGTGCATGTATATGAATACACATTATATTAATGAATATGAACCCATATCCTGTACACACTAAACACACCGATAATAGATAAACGCCTGCTTCATTTATTTCAACACCTTCATCATCAATGGTATTCATATTGATGAGATATAGTGGTCCACATGAGCCAGGCAGAGAGCTGAAAAGACTATCAGTTAATGATTCCACAATATTAGACACCTGCATGGATGTGGTCAAAATATTATTCAAATTGTACTTTCTGGTTTTTATCATCATCTTAATATGTCGTATGATTTTCAGACTAATTTAACATGAGAATTTTTTTCCCCTCTGGGAATTAGTTTAGTCTTGTTACGCCATTTCAGTAAGCATTTTGGAATCTCACCTCACCCCACCCTGCCCCTGGCCAAATTAATTTCTCTCATTTCAGCATTGTGACAGGGGAAGCAATGATGCTCTATTATTTTTCATGATTTGCCCTCATTTGCTTAATGTCCCCTAAATTCTGTAATGACATCATAACCTCTGTTATGAGTAGAGAGGAATGGGCTCACTGAAATCAGACATTAGAAATTGTTGGGTGATGCTCATAACTGCAAACACTTAGCTTATTGAAGTGCCTCTATTTACATGTTTAGTTATAATATGTATTTTTCTAACAGAAATACACGTCTGTAATTGGTGTATATTATACTTTGTCTGTGTTATAACAAAAGCTAAACAGAGGCTAAAGTCTTTAGCAGAGAAGAATGAATTACAATTCATGAATTAGAGCTCTGCTTGTGGTTCTGTGTTGAAAGACAGCCATGACTACCTTCTGTCATTTTAATGAAGGTCAAGTCGGTACTTTGATTATAGCCATGGTAAAAACAACCTTAGCAATAGCAACCTGACTCCCTTACAGGGACTTACCCAGATGAGTATCTTGTATTACCTGCTTTACTTGTAAGGGATAGAAAATACTACTTTGTCTACACTGAAAAATGCTAGTATTCATTGACAAGCAGTAGTAATTATAAAAATAACATTCTATAATTCAAACACACTGAAAATATTATTGGATGCAGAACCCAGATATTTAATTTATACTCCCTGCTGCAGACATTAGCCTACTTTAATTCTTTAGCCATTACATACATGTTTTGGCTACACGCTGAACACCAACTAAAGTCCCCAAGGAGGAATAAAAACTTAGTAAATTCCTGAGTTGTGATTCTTTTGTTACTTCTCTTTGCAAGGCTAATTATCAGATGGTTTGATTAAAGGTGGGAGGGTTAGTAAATGCAAGTTTTGACTGACCCAAGACTTGCAGAAATTGAAACTCATTGTCATTTATTTATAGTCACTAACAAACCTGACTAACTTAAAAAAAAAAAAAGGCAGTTTCGCTTTGCCAGCAAAAGAGTAAAGGAGACCATAACTTATAAATTTGCAATGTGTTCCTCCTCGGTGGAGACATTAGCCCGTGTTTAGTTTTAGGCCAACTTATACAAATGGAGTATTGATTTGTATGCATTCCGGAGCCTTGCTATGTCATGGTTTGCTTCAGCAAGGGGACTCAGCTCAGCATGGACCCAACCTCATTCAAAGCTGAACAGTTACTGGGATCTGTGACCTGACCTTACAATGAGGTACTTCCATGAAAAGAAACCTAAAGATGGCCTAATTGTGAGGTCTCTGTGTGCATATGCATAGTATATATGCAGGACAAGTGTGTGCACCAATCAAACCTAAAATTTTATGTGACTGTCAAATGAATATTATTTGGATTAAGATTTTTTATTTCTGATTTGGATAGAAAATTGCTATTAATCTTGTATTAAAATAGTTTTTAAAAATCTACCAGTGCCCTTTCTGCATTTTCTTCATTACTGCCATAGTCTACATTTCAGAGATTTTGACTTTTTGAGAGCTTTTTAGAAACTATAATATTTAAAGAAAAATAAGAGAAAAAGAACCATAGATTAAATCAGTACCACTCACCTAAGTACACTTGGCATTTGAAATCATGAACTTTGAAAACTTGCGAATATTTAGAGCTTTCCAAGCATGTATGGAAGATACAGTATCTCTCTTCTTTGTTATTGGTTTCTTCTCTAAGATAAAATTTAGTCACTTGAGAACTGATGTCAACACTTTATAAATGAGGTCAGAAAAATAATATGGGAAAGAACTAACAATTCCCAAATTTAGTGAATTTAATTCATTTTTGTATTTCTGAAAGTTTCTATGCTCTCAGGAATGCTAAATATTGTATAATGTGCTAAAGATTTATTTAACAAATATTTATTAAACTCCTGTTCTGTGCTAAACCTGCTCTAGGAGCTGATCACTAGTTGTCAAAACCACCAGTTGGAAACTATTCATTCTTTACTAAAGTTAACTATGATTATTACAAATACATTGCTTTTTTCAGGAATGGTCTTTTAAATAAAGGAAACTATATAAAGATATCAAAAATACAATATTTAACTGTAAGCAATATTATAATTTATTTCACATTATGACCATATCATTTTCTATTGAGAAAAGTGATTTCTATAAAACAATTAAGGGAACTTTAGAATAATTTCATCTACAAAGCCAGAATATAACAAATTCTATTTAGAAAATAAAGTGAAAACAATTTCATGGAAAGGAAAAACATCCAAATGGTTTAGGGGGGAAAAAATAATAAAACCAGAGACACTGTTATCAGGTAACAACAATATTTGTTAATTAGCTCTTTGGATAAATTGGCTGAGATATAGTCAAAACATACAAACAAATGTGGAAGATAACATTGATTTTTAAAATATGAACTTGTAAAGTACCAGAGATTAGACATGGAGTGTTACTTCTTGAGAGCTAAAAATATGTAGCTATAAGTTTGTCTATTCAAATAGACAGTCTCAATCCATTCATTACACATACATTTCCATTCCATAGACACAATTATTTGTTGATATAAACATGTGGGCAAACATGTTTTGTTGGCTTATAAATGGGGCATATAACAAAGCCAGGAGGAATTAGATGGCTGCTTTTGTAGCCTGCTTAAGGAGCTCATACTGTCGCTCATGTTAAAACATAAAGCAGAGCAAGAAAATGGACAGTTACCCTGTGAGAGCTCCAGTTTAGAGAGAAACAGAAAGAAGACTAACAAACTGGATTTGAGGCAAACTGAAGAATACTTACCATGAATAAGGCTGTCTGTTTTTCAATAAAACAAGTGTCTAAGGATTTTTAAATTTAAAAAAAAAGAGCTGACCTAGGTAATAATGGTAATAATAGCCATTCATTCTTTCAATATATGTAATGAGTGAGTAATCATGTGCCAAACACAGTTCTGGGTACAAGAGCAAGACATAAGATTTCTGCTCTCAGACAGCTTACATTCTAGTAGAGGAGAGACAGACAACACAAAGTAAATAATAAAGAAGTTGATTTCAAAAAGGAGGAGGTGCCACGAAGTGAGATGGTGACTAAGGAGGACTCTCCTTTAGATCAGTGATCCAGGAGAGCCTCCCCAGTGATAATCAAGCTGTGATCAAATCACAGCAGGGAGACAGCCATGTGCTGACCTGGGGACAGAGATTTTCAGGAAGAGAAAGAAGCAAACGCAAAGATCTCAGCCCAGGAATGATCTTCATGTACTCCAGCATGGCTGGGGACTTGTAAGTGAGCTGTCAGTGGTGGATGGCTGAAGAGTAACCAGCGGCAGCCATGTTAAGTGTAATGGCCAAAACCATGGTCTTTTACCAGCTGGTGAAGCCAAAACCCTGAAAGGACTTATCCTTATGCGTTAGCCCAGCTGGTAGCACTTACTATCATTTTAAAGCATGTTTTAGCAAGGAACTATGCTAATCTCTTTATGTACTTCATCTTTATAGGATCTCTAGGATGGAGGAATAATAATGCCCATTTTTGAAGCACAGTGAGATTAATTAACTTGCCCAGTCATACACGCGAGGCTGTGACATGAACTGAGGTCTGTAACAATTAAGCAGAAAAGTGGCAGTATCTAAAGATAATTTTGGTTTTTTATTACAAATCCAATTGAATTATCCAAGGATATTCTTAGAATTGGCAACAAGTGCATGAACAGGAATACACAGATGTTTACTTGCATAGAAGGTATGTATTAAAAGTTTATTCCAAGCCATAGTGCCATTTAGTTGCTTTCTGTTTAAATTTTTTGTTTTTCAAAATTAAAATTTTAAGAAAATAAACTACGGATTCTGGTTTCTTGCATAGTTTTGAACATAAAGCCACTGTGAACCGAAGTTTGAAGCTTGGGACGGGAACATGTGTATCAAATCTGCTTTCCCCCTGTTTGCATATTTGGCTTTAATATCTTATTCACAGAAAGAAAATCATCCACAGAGCTTAGCCCAGTTCTCACTGGCTCTTCCCATACATGAGCTTTGTCTATAATTTATCTATTCAGGTAGGTCCAGTGGACCCAAAATATAAATCAAGTCAATATAACAGGGCCGGCTGAGTGGCGCAATAGTTAAGAGCTGGCTTGGGATGCCAGAGGACCCCGGTTCGGATCCCACATATGACGGCCAGTGACACTGCCCCTCTACAGCTAAGATGCTGAACAACAGCTCAACCTGGAGCTGGGCTGTCGTGAGTCGCTGGTGACGGCATAGGCTGCAGCCCCTGTGGCAGTGGGTTGCCATGGGCTATCGTGTGTAGCCAGCAGCCAGTGTCAATGGCCAGCAGCCGCAGTGAGCAGCCGTCCAGAAACCGGCGACTGATCTGCCTCACCCAGGAAGAGCGCAATGATGGTGCCAACTTGGGCCAGTAAAGCAACGTCCTCCACAACTAGACTGAAGAACAAAACGACAGCAACTTGTCTGTTCTCCTTCCCCCAATTCCCCAATAAAAAATCTTTAACAGAAAAAAACCCAATATAACAATTAGTCAATTCAAACAGACAACCAGTATGGCTTCTTTGTTGACTAAATTGACTGTTATAGCATCTTGCAAAGCCTATTACCTTATCACTGAAGACCCAGCCAAATCGAAGTCCTGGTAACAGTTTTCTCAGTTAAAATTTAGACCAAAGTGTGAGATACACTTGTGCCTTTCTTTTTCCTGGAGTTAAAGCTCCTTTTATTGTTGTATTCCACCTCATGCTTGATTAAAAGGCATGGGCCATTGCCTTCCTTACCTGAGAGAATCAGGGTTCTTGATTACAGGTTTTATCCCTTTTAAAAAGGTTATCCTTAGACATTTCAGAAAGGTAGGTGAATGTCAAGTTAGAGAAAAGTTTGTCTGCAAAACATCATTTCTCTATCTTGATCTAAAAATGCCTTCTATTTACATAATGTCACCCTAAAGGGAGCTTTCAAATTCATTTTCATTCATAATCTTCATCATACCTCCATGAAGTAAGCGGAAATCACTGCCCCTATTTTATCGTTCAGTGAAACTACCTGGTGGAGCCAAGTTCTTCTCACTATGTTTCTTCTCTTCCTTTCTTCTTTTTCTGTTCCTCACCCCCAGCCCATCCAAATCTTAAGAACTTTAGTATAAATCAATCTGGCTCCTATAAACCTTTCACTAATTTAGAACCAGCCCAATAGCTCAGCCACAGGAGCCCAGTATCAAGTTTTTTTTCCAAATTGAGCCTGAGAGAATGATACCCTGACAGTCTTCTGATTCATCTCTGGTCCTGAATCACATATTGTGAATTAGCATATGCTGAGTTTCCTTCATGTGAAAAATAAAATTAGATGTCCCAAAATTATATTCAGCCAAAGAAGCTTCACCCAAACTGTTTTATTAAAAGCTTGTTAGTGACACAGTAATGATTTTATTGGTTTTTATTTGTTTGAGCCATTGCATATGAATTAACATATTAACACTGTTTTTATACAGCCAAAGATAAGCCCAGGTTCTGTGCATGTGTTTATTTTTCAGCTTGAGGGTGTTTTGTTTGTTTGGTTGGTTGGTTGGTTGCTTGGTTGGTTTAAAGGGGAAACTTTACACTGAGTAGTATATTATTCGACAGAGAGGATGAGCCATGAGAAATGTGCAAGCAAAATGGATTTCTATGGGAAAGAATAAAAAAAACTTTCTCTGCAACCAAACTCTTTCTTCCTCTGGACAATCTTTGCCCTCCTAGTGCCTCATGAGCCGGGAAGGTGACATAGGATGGTCTGGAGGATGTAAAATGAAGAGAGAGAAAAGAATAGAAATCCAGTGCCATTTGAAACACATGATATCTCCGATACTTATTTGAGCATTTCTGAACCTTCACTGTGAAAGTCTCCTCTCAAAGAGAAAACTCCATGTAGACAATATGGAGCAATGTCACTTAATGAAAAACTTAAGAAGAAACCACAGAGAATGCCAACAAGCATAGGAAAAGGTGCTCAGCATCACTAATTATCAGGGAAATACAAATCAAAATGAAAATGAGCTATCACCTCACACTCAGTAGGATGGCCACTGTCAATAAAACAGAAAATAACAGGTGTTGGTGAGGGTGCAGAGAAATTAGAACGCTTGTAGACTATGAGTGAGAATGTAAAATGGTGTAGCCAGTGTGGAAAACAATATAGAGTTTCCTCAAAAACCAAAACATAGAATTATCATATGATCCAGCAATCCCATACTTGTGGGCATATCCTCATATGCAAAAAAATTGAAGAGATATTAGCACTCCCATTTTCACTGCAGCGCTGTTCACAATAGTCAAGAGGTAGATGTCCATCAACAGATGGATGCATGAAGAAAATGTGGTATGTACATACAATGGGAAATTATTCAGCCTTTAAAAACAAAGAAGTTCTAATATGTGCTACAACATGGATACCCTTTGAAGATATTATGCTGTGAAGTAAA